AATCTTGTCGGCATTAAATAACCCATTGAAGTTGATATGCCGTGAAACAAAATAAACCAAACCAAACTGATTTCTTACAAAGAATACATATTCTATTCATACGAACCTATCCTAAAAATCTTGTCGGCATTAAATAACCCATTGAGGTTGATATGACGTAAATCAAACCAAACCAAACTGATTTCTTACAAAGAATACCTATTTTATTCATACGAACCGATCCTAAAAAATCTTGTCGGAATTAAATAACCCATTGAGGTGTTGATATGCTGTAAAACAAAATAAACCAAACCAAACTAATTTCTTACAAAGAATACATATTCTATTCATACGAACCTATCCTAAAAATCTTGTCGGCATTAAATAACCCATTGAGGTTGATATGCCGTAAAACAAAATAAGTCAAACCAAACTGATTTCTTACAAAGAATACATATTCTATTCATACGAACCTATCCTAAAAATCTTGTCGGCATTAAATAACCCATTGAGGTTGATATGCCGTAAAACAAAATAAACCAAACCAAACTGATTTCTTACAAAGAATACATATTCTATTCATACGAACCTATCCTAAAAATCTTGTTGGCATTAAATAACCCATTGAGGTTGATATGCCGTAAATCAAACCAAACCATACCAAACCGATATGTCGTACCCGTATTAGAAGCTTTTGCGTAATCTATAAAACAAGTCTACATCCTTCTGCATTTACATCCGATGGAAGCGTAACACACGTTACAAGAGGTCGGGGGTGGGGGTGGGATTAATGCAAGAAGAATATAGATAGCTACAAATTCTACTTCTTTTAATGTTTAATTTATCTTTTTAATTACAATCTGATATGAAATTAATTAGCTCTTAGCGTCAAATTTATTATCAGTGTTTAATTTAGCTATTAATACGGGCTGTGAATATGATAAGCGTACTGATTTCAACATTCACTGTTAGCGTTACCCACCCCCTGACTAACATGAAAACAGACTGACATAATGAAAGTAATTAATTCATTCAATTAGAAGACAAATGTAATTGATGTCGCTAATGTGTACAGTCGAGTGGAGGGGGATCACGTGTTAAGAAACCGACACACAGACACAAATGTAAACTGTTTTCTCTTTATCACCGTCACTGACCAGTGTAGAGAAAACTTTTATCGTTATGCAATAATTTTTGCCTAGTGTGGCACAGGGGTAAGGTCATGCGGCACTCTGTGAGAATCGCAGTCGTTCTTGGAGTAATTACGGCGCTTAGCTGAGCGACTTTTAACCCATTTTCCCAATGAAAAATCATTTTAATTTCTGGCCAATGACAATCGGTTTTGCTCTTGTTCTATATAATATAATTCTATAGTAAAGTTTATTGCAATGCATTTTTATAGTAAGAATAATTCACTGGGGTTTAATTTATGCATAAAAATAACCACATTCTCTCAGTGACATCTACATTAATTTCTGACCAATGAAAATACGATTTTTTTTCTTATTCTATAATAGAATTCATTTCAATCCATTTTTATAGTAAGAATAATTCACTGGGGTTTAATTTATGCATAAAAATAATCACATTCTCTCAGTGACATCTACATTAATTTCTGACCAATGAAAATACGATTTTTTTTCTTATTCTATAATAGAATTCATTTCAATCCATTTTTTATAGTAAGAATAATTCACTGGGGTTTAATTTATGCATAAAAATAATCACATTCTCTCAGTGACATCTACATTAATTTCTGACCAATGAAAATACGATTTTTTTTCTTATTCTATAATAGAATTCATTTCAATCCATTTTTATAGTAAGAATAATTCACTGGGGTTTAATTTATGCATAAAAATAATCACATTCTCTCAGTGACATCTACATTAATTTCTGACCAATGAAAATACGATTTTTTTTCTTATTCTATAATAGAATTCATTTCAATCCATTTTTATAGTAAGAATAATTCACTGGGGTTTAATTTATGCAAAAAAAATAACCACATTCTCTCAGCGGCACCTACATTAATTTCTGACCAATGAAAATACGATTTTTTCTTATTCTATAATAGAATTCATTTCAATCCATTTTTATAGTAAGAATAATTCACTGGGGTTTAATTTATGCATAAAAATAACCACATTCTCTCCGTGACATCAACATTAATTTCTGACCAATGAAAATACGATTTTTTCTTATTCTATAATAGAATTCATTTCAATCCATTTTTATAGCAAAACTCTTTCCCAGAGGAATAATTTCTGTATATATTAACCCCATTTTTGATATTCTGTAAAAACGCTTTAACTTTAGGAGGAAAAATACAACAGCGAAAACCGAACGCACCTTGATTAGCAAATGGTTTATTCCAAAAACCAAGTAATCTACTAAAAACAATAAAATTTCGTTAGAAACCAAAAAAAAAGTGCTGCTATATATTATCAATCCACCTGTATGGCAGTAAATACTGGGCAATCTCCTCACAGGTGGATAAAAAAACTGAAAGCAGCAGAAATGTGGATCTACAGAAGGATGATGAGAATACTATGAACGAATCGACTTACCATCGAAGAAATCTTAAGGGAAATTGGAAACAAAAAGAACGCATACTAAGTATCAGAAAGGTGAACTGGAAAGACGTGCTTAGAGAATTTGACACCCACAAGGCATATCGAGATCAAGCGGGATAAGTGCGCGCGGTGGGGTAGCGGGCTACCTATCTGACAAGATTGTGTGAGTGAATGACGGAACAGGGAGTGAGAAGCTTGGCAAAGGGACAATTATTACTGGGGCCTACAAAGACGCTCGCATCCTGAAAAGAAGCGGAAGATAAAAGAGGAAATAGCTCCACTGCCTTAGTAAAACCTGTCTTAATTTCTGACCAATGACAATCCGTTTTTACAATTCTACAGTCGAATTTATTGCAAAGCCTTTTTATATTAAGAATAATTAACTGAGGTTCAATTTATGCCATATTGTCTCAGTGACGCCTACCTTAATTTCTGGCCAATGACAATAAGTTTTCTACTTGTTCTGTATAATTTCTGGCCAATGACAATAAGTTTTTCACTTGTTGTCTATAATTCTATAGAAGTATTTATTACAAAACATTTTTATAGTAAGCATATAATAGCCCTATTCTGTCAGTAACACATGCCTTAATTTCTGACCAAATATAATGTTTTTTTTTATTTTCGTTACATGTCTATACTAGAAGTTTTTTTTAACCATTCCACCCCCAAGCAAGGCGAGAGTGCTACTAACAGGCGGGGGTTACAGAGAGTGAAAGTAAGGGAAAAGACTGTGTTTAGAGGGGAATGAGAAAAGGATAAAAGAAAAACGGTGATCACGGCAACAGAAGAAAACGATTGACGTTGCATCTAAATGTTTGAAGATTGTAATTATTAGGGAAGCAAGTAAGAGGAAGGGAGTTTCACTGTCGGGAAGCGCGAGAAAACAAACAGTTGGAGTAGAAGTGGCAGTTGCATTTAGCTATTTCAACAGTAAAAGGGTGGGACCTAAATGCCAATCTAGTAGCACGCTTAAATTCATGTAGTCGGTGCACCAGGGAAGATAGATCGTCAGAACAGTTGCCACGAAAATATTTGTAGAAAAGACAGAGGGAAGCTACATCACGTCTGTGGGAAAGTGACTGAAGTCGAGATGCCAGCTCAGGACCGATTACATTGCAGATCTTTTTTTGGATTTTGTCAAGAACTTCAAGATGAACAGCAGGGGCACCCTACCAGATATAGCAACAGTCATCAATGCATCGACGAACGGTAGATTTGTAGATGTGTAAAATGGGCTCTGACGAGAAAAACCTTGCATTGAATTTTTTTAGTAAAAACAAACTTGACTCGTCGTCTCCACAAAATTATGGAGAATAAAAAGGGTTTTTTTTTTCATTGACGCCGCTATTATTGTAACTACCGTCACTCCTCGGCAATGTTTTTTTTTTTTTTTTTTTTTTGTTGATTAGAATTGAAATAAAAGCTAAACATATGATGAAAGTAAATTCTTACATTATTTTTGTTCCTGAGAATTTACAACAAATATATTAAACACTATTTATTTATTAGATATTTTTTACAAGAATTTTATATTTACAACATTTTATAAACTAATACAATTAAAATTAATACAATCCAATATTTATCATTCATCAATTTATAAAGTATGAAAATGATTTTTATTCATAAATTTATAAACATTTACTAAATTATTAAAATATGCGAACCAACTATAAAGAAATCATTATTATTTACCATTTTATAAAGTTCGAATCATTTGGTAATTAGTCGATGTATTGCCAATCATTGCAATAAACAACATAATAAATAAAAAGCGTAAATAATTTAGTAAATAATTAGTGTTTATTATTTTTGTTGTCATTGCTTAGTTTTTATTACAATTCCTTTCTTTCTGATGAATATTTCCGTGTAAATGAATGTAACGATAGTGGCAATAAAGCTACAATGACGCAAAGTTTTACTGCAGTGAAAGAATAAGGGAGAAATCATTATTACGTCGAATGGATAATAAAAGAATAACGTGGGCGAAATCATTATTAAGGAACGTGGACAATAAAAGAGAGAGACTTGGGAGAAAACATTAATAAGGAGAGTGGATAATAAAAGATAGGACCTGGGAGAAATCATTATTAAGAAGAGTGGACAATAAAAATGAGATCCTGGGAGAAATCATTATTAAGGAGAGTGGATAATAAAAGAGAGAACCCGGAAGAAATCATGGACAATAAAAGAAAGAAACTGGGAGAAGTCATGCTTAAAAAGAGTGGAAAATAAATTTTAAAAACGGGAGTAATCATTTAGGATAGCAGACAATAAAAGAAAAGAACCTGGGAGAAATCTTTATTAAATTGTGTGGGCAATAAAAGAAAGAACCTGGGAGAAATCCTTATTAAGGAGAGTGAACAATAAAAGAAAGAACCTGGGAGAAATCATTATTAAGGAGAATGAACAATAAAAGAAAGAACCTGGGAGAAATCATTA